TTTCTTTTGCTTTGGAACTTAACTGCAGGGTCAGCTTTGCAAGTAACATATTCATAATCAACTCTGATCTATTTTCCCTTCCTCTGTGGTATTTTTCAATCAAGCATGTATTTTGTAAATATATTAATTTGTGTTTAATAGGAATCTTTTCCACTAAGAGTAGGCAGAAATTTTTTATAGATTTGATTACAGCCCTCACGATATGAATCTAACACAGTGCAGAAAGCATAACAGTACTCACTGACACTTAATAAATGGACTTAGAGTGATGAAATTAATATTAATATTAAAATTAATATTAATCTTTATTAATGCCATTCACATTCTTTTATGATAGGCTAAAGCTGATTTCACCATAATTTGTAGAGAACTGGATGTTTTATTTTAGTTCTACTTTTATGAAAAGTAGGCAAGTAATGACAAAAGTAATTACTTGAAATATGTTTAAAAGAAAGCATAATAATTTTGATAGGATAACACAAATCAAATCAGAATAAGCATGAAATTATATTTAAGAAGTGGACAGAGTCACCTGGACTCTGACCCTCAGAGAGAGGAACATCACTTCCACCTTGCCATGGCCACTCCCTGATTTTCTATACAATCTACACTGCATTCACCACATTCCATTTTACTTAATGCAAAAATGTAAAGGTTAAAGGAAATCAAATGATTTCCACTGTCTAGCCTTATATGAAGTACAGAGTTACATATGTGGCCAAAGCACTCAGGTCATGAATTTTAAGGCGTTAGACTTGCAAATCATCAAAAAACTTACATTATTTTATTGTGATACTTAGTTGTAAATATAGAGATATTTGGTAGTATTTATATTTATTCTCAAGCCACAAAAAATCTCTGCTTAAATAACCCAACATTATTCCTAGAGTTCTGGTAATTTTGTTAGAATAAATTTTTTTTCTTAATGACTAGAGTAAAATACTGGATAGAATTTGAATTAGAGAAAAATATAACAAAAAGAGGCAACAAGAAAATGTATGTTCTAGAAACTTCTTCCAGTTGAAAACATGTCTATGAGAAAACATTCAAATCAAATTCTATTTAGTACAGCTAGTTTTAATACTAAAGTGGTAAGGGTAGGATACAAATAAAGGTCTGTGTATCAACTGCTGATCATCGAAAATGGAGCATAAAAGAAAAAAGTAAATTTTAGTTTCACTGCCTACATTATAGTCAATAACATGTTATAACTGTCTAGTTAATTTTTTATATCTAAAGCTTCCCTGCCTGTCTACATAACTTGTTTGCAAATATTTTCTTATTGTTCCTTCTGATATTTATCTATAATAATAGCATTCTTATTAGATGCCTTCATGATTTCTCACAAGTCTTCTGTACAGCTTTGTTGTTGTTATAATAAAATGCCAGAGGTTGAATACATATAAAGTAAAGAGATTTATTCAGATTACAGTTTTGGAAGGTAAATGTCCAAGACTAGGTGTCCCTTTCCATCTGTCTGGTCTCTAATGAGGCTTCCACGCTGCCTCATGACATGGTAGAGAAGTGAACAGGGGAAAAATCGTGAGCAGAAGAAAGCAAACATCATGTGGGTTTTCTCTATAAGAACACATTTATATTTTCATTGCTACTCTATGCTTGTGGTAACCAGAAATTCCATTAACATCATTAGTCATGACAGTATTGGCTTTGTGGTCTGCTCACTTACCCCTGGCCTTACCTCTTGATTGCTCTACCATCTCCTACCATCACCAAACTAGGGCCAACTTCTAGTCCATGAAGCATTGAGAGAGACCTTTAAACCAAATCCAGATGAAAGCGGTTTCTATATATGAACAGTGCAGAAGTTAAGCTAGATAATTCACTCATACCTCATTTGCACCCAGGGGTTTCTTGTTCTAGTCTTTTTAAAATCACCTCTCTCCACTTGGACTGTCTATTCACCGATCTTCCACAAACTCCTTCTTCAGGTATGCCCATCAGTTATCACATAAAAACCTTCTTGTTTTATTCAAGTCTTACTTCCATCTTCCCATTAATGGTTACAGAACTTTACCCCTTCTGTCCACCACTCATCAGCCCTAAGTTCTTACTGTTAGTATTCAGGCATCTGTACTGGCTTGCCCTTGGGGTTCTGACAGAATACTCCCTCAGTCGTAGATACTAAGAGCACCACTTGTGGGTATTCACTATGTTCCCTTTTAAAAGGGCCCTGCCCACGTCCCATCCTCTCTCTCTCTCTCTCTCTCTCTCTCTCTCTCTCTCTCTCTGTCTTTCTTTCTCTTTCCCAGTCTGTTCCCTGTTATGATAAATCTTTCCGCCAAAAGAGACCCAAGCCCTACTGTCACATAGGTGGTCTCCGCCAGCCACCTGAGTTCTGCCCACCGAGGTAGGGCCCAAATTAATTCACAGAGACTTGTATTAGATACAAATGCTGCTTGGCCAATGACTAGGATTCTCATCTGTTAGCTCAGTCTTACTTATCATAGACTTATCTTATCGGATACCTTCCATTAGCATCCTCACTTGCCGGTGGATGACATCGCAAATTTGGAGAAGAGCAGAGGGGAAAAGGGACAACTTCCTGCTTGTCCTTGCTTAAATATGAGTCTCCTTGCTATGTCACTTACTGCCTGGATTACCACTTCTCTACTATATTTCTCAGAATCCTCTTTGACTCCTAGTCCCATCTCACTTGCTGCCTCATTGGCCAAACAGTACTTTATTCAACAATCAATAAGATGAACATACACAGAAGTACATTCCCCATCAGTTCCTCCCCTCTCTCTCTCTCACACACACACACCTCTCTCCCCCTTTCCTATCTCCTCTGCTGATCCTATCTCTGGACCTGGTCTCCCCCCTTCCTGTTCCCCTTTTTTAATGATCTCTTTCTTAAAACAAAAAAACAAAAACAAAAAACAAAAAACAAAAAGAATCCTCTGCTTGAAACCTGTCACATGGCATCTTTCTCTTTAGCGCTGCTTTTCTTAAATTACAACACTTATTGTACTCATTCAGATTTTCTCTTGGTTCTTTCTATACATTGAGCTCTCCTTGATTTTTTGGTTAGGCTGAGCATAGGTTCTACTCACAAGACTTGCAAGCACTAGCATAGATACTTCTATAAAATGGGTTTCTAGGTACTATAGAATCTGTGTTGAGAGAGGTACTATAGAATCAGAGATGTTGACCTGTCCTTCAGCCCAGGTCCAGGTATCCTCAAATGTCTCCTTCAGGAATTTCCGAAGATATTTCACAGTTGTCAGAAAATAATTATCCCTTGTTTTAAGCCTTGCTTAAATCCCTAGACAGTGTGGGAAATAACCTCATCTCAAGAATTGGACTGGGGAAAGGAGAAGGTAAGTGAAAGATGTTTTTGCTGATTTAGGCTTTATCAGGGACATGAACCACTTGGGTCAAATCTCTGAGTTTTCTACCACTGTATTTCAGTGGTTTAAATAACATATAGCTAGCTTTTAGTACATAGCCACTGATTCAATGTTGTTGAAAAGTGCAGAAACTGATGAGAAGAACACTTTTCAAACAGATAATCTGGCTCCTAATCCCCCTGTTTTGCTGAAGGCACTTCATTTGTTCAATCACATACCATTTCTTGGAGCTTAAAAAAAAAAAAAAGTGACTTTGTCTCCAGGCCAGAGTCTGCCATCACATCTAGACATGTGACCCATATGCCAACCACCATGCGATTCAATAAACTGAATGGGCATGGTTACATTTGGGGGTAGGGGAGTTTATTGAATTTCCATTTACAGGTAGTATTTGAATATTCATATATTGTAATCAAGATAGGTGTGTGTGTGTGTGTGTGTGTGTGTGTGTGTGTAGCTGTACTTTTATCCCACATAAAAACTCAAACTATAGAGATTTAATTAGGTTCAGTTTTTTAAAGTATAAATTTAATCACGTCAACTGGGAGGAATTGGAAGGGGAAGAAAGGGTGGAATTGGTCTAAATTGAGTACTCCTATGAAATTCTTAAATAAAAACAAAACCCCAAAACGTAACCTAAAGAAGTATAAAAGGAGTATTAGAATTCAGAGCACTTCACATGTGAGTCACAAAACTTCAGAACATATTGTTCAGTGGAAATCAGATGACACACACATTGTTTCCCAGTCTTAATTTGCCCATATTTCCTGAGGGGAAAACCCATCCCTCCATGTGCCAGTTCAAAGGTGGATTTAAAACAGATCTATAGAAAGAAAAAAAAAAACTCTCTGTCTACTCTTCTGTCTTTCATATTAAAAAAAATAACCAGAAGTGATTTTATAGCTGTGTGTGAATATTAAAAAATACAGATTTTTTAAATGTACAATATAACTTTATGAGTTACACATATAAATAGTATTATTTGGAAAACTTCTTTATAACATAGTGATTACTTGCTTTGAAGGAAGATATAAGTATAAAACAATAAGGCCAGTTTCAAATTGTGGATAGGACCAGGAATTGTGTAAGGCAATTAAAAGATTTATTGAGTCTTGGTTAAAGTAGATTGACAGTCACGTTAAAGAAGGATGGGTAGTTTATTTGGTGCTACTCTGCATGGTTGGAAGTACAAATCATCTCAGGTACAATGTAGTTTGAATCACAACTCAAACACAAAATAACTAGCAAAATCACAGACCCACCTTCAATATACAATGATTATGTTTTTAAAAGAAAGAAAGAAATCCAACAATTAATATTGTTAAGGTGCAGTAACTTTTGAATAAAATATTAGCACCAGAGCAGGAAAAATTATCTGAGACTGTTGGCCACCTTCTTCTTCTTCTTCTTCTTCTTCTTCTTCTTCTTCTTCTTCTTCCATAACTAAATAGAAACATTTTTTCCCAGAGCACAAATATTAATTTTCAAAATCAGTTCTAAAGTAGTTAATGTCTTCCTCTACTTGCTTTTCAAAATGTTTGCATCGTTCCCCTCTAAGGAAAAATATGAAGTAAAAATTTTCACAAGATATGAAAACTGAAGAAATCTGAGCTAACCAAGCCGGGTGCTTCAGCAGTGGGTCCCCACGGAAGCAAATGTGGACATCTCTCTGCGGATCGTGCTGAAGGGCGACAGCTCCAGCTCTGTGGTATACTCGTTGTCGTTGTCATCGCTGGTCACAGTGGAAGACTTCTGGATGCACTCCTCACAGCAGCAGCAGCAACACTCCATGAAAGCTCTGCTGAAGGGTCTGCAGAGGCAGAAAAGGAGCACAGGGGTGACACAGGACTTGAAGAACAAGAGGAACTGGCTGATGATGTTGAGGAGGTCCATGGTCTGCTGCGAGACGCCCGTGGCCATGTAGGCAGTGACAATGTTGCAGATATTCTCAGGGATGATGCAAAACCCATATAAAATGGTTAGGGCCACCACCGTGCAGTTCATCTGGCTCTCCAGATGGATCTGCCGCTTGTTCCCACGGGTACTGGCCTTCTCTGCTTTGCGGATCTTCCGCGCAGTCACTAGAGAGCAGGTGATGGTGAAAAGTGTGGGCAGACAAAAGTAGCAGCCAAAATACCACCAGAGCCTTGCACCGTCATAAGTGAGGGCCAAAACATAGATGGTGTCCGGTAAATCGGGAGAGATCTTTATGACACACCGTTCTGCAGGAGCCTGGCCACTAAAGCCCAAATCCTCCTTGCTCAGCTGGCGGAGAACAACTTCCGGAAGTGCCAACAGCAAAGCGCCAACCCAGATCACTGCAAGTTTGGCAGTGGTGGAAGAACAATTTTCGATCATTTCATAGTACATCTGGACGTTGGTGGCAGCCCGGAAGCGATCAATGCACAGTGCACATAAGGTGAACGTAGTGACGCCCAGAGAGGCCACCTGTGGGGGACACAGAATGCACAGGTTCTGAGAGATCATAGCATTGGAAAATAGAAACAGCAGAGTGGGGACAGCAAGGGAGGGCAAATTAGAAGAGGGAATGGAAGGGGAGGAGGACTCGGGAGGGCAGAGGAGGAGAGGGGAGGAACAAGACTGGGGAGAACAGAGAACTGGAGGTAGAGAGCTGAAGGCGGGGGATGCACAGGAAGATTGGGTAGGGGAGGGGAAGATGGACCAATTGCTTCGTTGAATCACATGGGCCTGATAAAAAGAAAACTTCTAAAAACGCGTAATATTTCTGGGTTGATACACACACCCACACCCACACACACACCCCCCCACACACACACACACCCCAAGGAGGGGTAGTAGCAAGAGCTGGAAGCAGCTTGTAGGAAGGTCAGCAAGTCCTGTGTGATTTTTCTGTCACAGATAAGAACCTCTGGAGGTTGAAAGAGTTTCAGCCACTGTGAAAATGCCAGCCATCGGAACATCTAGATAAACCAGCAGAGACCGGCTTGTGTCTCGTTTTTATCACTTCAGAGGGTGGTCACGTTTTCCCTGGAGGGACTCAGGCTGCCTCACACAGCCAGTGCTTCTGAGCTGATTGTCTCTCCCAAACTCCTTGATTGGAGATATTTTCCCCCAGTGTTTCCTAAACACAAAATAAGAGGCACTTACTGTTCTTTTCTGCAAAAACAAGAAAGAAATTCTCCAGGGACCAAAATCAGTGAGAAAATCAATTTCAAATCAGTCACTAACAGTTCCTTTTCTCCTTGGGGTTTCCCAGCAGTTTTGGTGCTGTGAGCTAGGATTCTGGATGCTCACAGATAGAAGACCAACTTAGGACCAATGGATGTAAGGACGCTAGGAAATGGCATAGTAGGTGCTTGCCTCCAAGCCTGATGACCTCTGATCACCAGATCCCACTTCCTGCAAAGAGAGACCTGATATTTGCAAATGGTCCTCTGACTTCTGCTTGTGTGCACTCTGCTGCACACATGTGGACACACACTAGATAAATATGCAAATAAATAAATAAATATAATTAATTTTTAAGTGGGTAAGGATTGGAACAAAGATTCCTTTATGAGTGTAGAGCAGGGGGTGGGGGGAGCGGGACCAACAGACACTGGAGAAACATTGCATGATGATGTGTGCATCATGGGAATCAGGGTAAGTTGGTGGTGGTGGTGCCGGGGTGACAAATTGGAACCAAGAGTTCAACCTACATGGCATGAAGGCTAGAATTTTCACCAAACCTTTGGGATGGAAAAATTCAAAATGGAATTAAAATCATTAAAGATGCCTGATAGAGCCAGGCGTTGGTGGCACACGCCTTTTATCCCAGCACTTGGGAGGCAGAGGCAGGCGGATCTCTGTGAGTTCCAGCCCAGCCTGGTCTCCAGAGTGAGTGCCAGGATGCCTGATGGAGACATGTACAAATCCTCTCACGAAGGGTTCATAGAAATCATGTAGATAAAGGAAATACGAGTTAACAAAAATCAAAGTTACAATATACAAAGCACAACTACCTCTGTGATCTCATTTGCACAGAATAAAACAAAAAATTTCATATGTCATGAAAAAGTATACTCAAATAAAAACATCCATTAAATGTAAACAAATATGAGATGCTTAAATAAGGTAAAAGTACACATAAAATAACCATGAAAAACACATAGAAGAGCCAAAAAGGTGTTTCATCCTAACTACAGGAAATATTCTTATTGGGAAAGCATTTAGCAGATGGGATATTATATGCAAAATTCACTGCTCTTGTGTGCATAAGTTCAGATATTCAAGTAAGTCAATAGTTTACGCTTAATTAGAAACATATTCCTGTCATTCACAGCAAGGCTTTTCCAGGATTGTATGTTCCTAATCAAAATATACTGTGATAGTTAATTTTGATTGTCGACTTGGATGCATTAGAAATATCTAAAGCAGCTAGGAAGCACACTTTGGTTGTGTCTGTTTTCAGATAGTTGGATCCTGAGGACTTTAACCTAATGATGGGTGAAACCCATCAGGATGCATTGAACCCTAGATGCGCTCATAATGGGATGTCTTTGTTGGCAGGTGGTGAAAGGCAAGAGAAAGGGCCTGGTGTGGGGAGAGTAAGTCATTGGAGGAGAAGTCCGTAGAGCTTCATCTCATCTAGATGCTGCCCTTTACCTTCCTTTCTTTGTGTGAGTCTGTCCAGAGGTGAAATAAGGATGCTCTTCCCCAAGTCCCCTCTACCGGCTCCCACAAGCACGATGTTCTACTTAAGTCTCCACTGTGATGCTTTGCCCAAGCACCCGAGGGTGAGCCTATGAAACCATGAGTCCTTCCCTAAGTTATTTCTCTCAAAAGCTTTGGCCACAGTGATGCAAAAAGAACCAAGACACAAACCTTCATGTGTCTGCAAAATATTCCCAAGGCGTTGGGCATATTCTAGTGAGGCCCAGAGACACACAGCCAATGCATGTACATATTTGTGGATACCAACACTAAGCCAAGCACTGTGCTCATTACTGAAGACTTAGAAAGTAACAGATAGCTGTTCCTCCAGTTCACAGTCAGCCAAGAGTGGTAGAACAATCCTAAAGTCACAAGCTCAACATTGCCATTGACTGAAACAAAATTTACCTACATATTCGGTGGGACATGTAAGCAATTTAGCATTTAACGAATGTGAATACTTATTTTGGATTAAAAAAAGACAATAAATTAAAAAATGTGTTGATGCTTTAGAAAGAAAAGTCTTCAGGTAGATGAAGTGCTTTGAACTTTGCCCCAGAAACTGAGGAGGCCAGTGGTTCCCATGCCTGTTGATGAGAAAGTTTTAAAACATAGTTATATATCATGACTTGGCAAAAAGAACAAGGAAATTAAAAGTATAATGTTAGTATCAGCTTTTTAAAACCCAGTGCGATCATGATAGCAAAACCATTATAATGCTCTGACATTTGTTGTTTATCTGCCATATTCAAGCTGCCGCTGTCCCCAGAGCTGCCAACCTGCTTTGTAGGTTCTCTCCAATATGCTTTCTTCTTCCCACACATTATGCATCACACAACATTCCTAAGCTCTAATATGAAATATTTTCATAGCCCATTTTATGACTACTCTTACTATTATTGGTGAAAATAACCTTACTATGAGATATAACATTTTGAAAAGCATGAAAAGCAAAAGGCAAGAAAAATTTAAAACAGGGCTCTGAATGAGGCTGATAAAAAGCTTACCATTGAGCTTATGGCCATAATTCTTCAAGTCCTTTTCAAAATCCTCCCAAGTACCCATACAAGAAACATCAATCTTTTATAGTTGGAAAAATGAAAAGCCACCTTGTAAAACTTAACTTTCAAATATAGGAAGACTTGGAGGGAGGCAGAGGGTCAAGAGTGATATAGGTGCTCATTTATAAGTATTTCAAACAATTCAGAAATAAATAATAAAGAGTAAAGTTGACTTTTACTATGATGAGTCATTCCTCTTGATTGATATTTGTTTCTCATTTCAGCTCCAAATGCTAAACAATTTTACAACCAAGGTCCACATCATATTATTGTTTTCTAATGAGGCAATTTTTAATGTCGGTATCCACACTTGGAGGGAATTTTAAGAGGAATTGTTACTATCTAAGGGTCTCCATCAAACAATATCATGGGGAAACTACAGTACTTTGCAAACTGTTTTCACATGTTGTATTTGTATTTAAGGTTTTGAAGAGTTTTGATTTACTTATTTTAAGAATGTAAACTAAAGAAACCCTCAGGAGCTCAGGTATCAGCCAATTCTCCCAAGAGTCCCTGTGTAGTCTCACTAAGGAAAATGTTTGTGCATGGTTCCCTGTCATCACTGTCATGAATATTCAGAGTCCATGCACAAATATGAACCCCTGGGGTTTTTTTATGCTGCAAATATTTTTAAAATGATGAATAGTGCTTGTGATAAAAGGAAGTCTTGGCAACATAGAAAGCAGTGACTGAGAAGATGCAGCACACCTACTGGTTAGTAGGTTTCTTTCATTCCTTACAAAGAACCCACAATGTACAATGGATGGCATATTCTTTCCCTTATTCTAATTATTAGTTTAGAGAGTTCTAAACTCTCAACCACATATTACAAGTGCTAGTGTCTAACTCTGAGTCAGTTACAGATCATTAAGTAAGAAGTAACAGCAAACAATTGTGGGAAGACGAGTATTAAATGGGAGTGGTAGATTGCCAGCTACAGGGACTGTGGAAACTGCCTCTTAATGAGAACATGCTCCCTGTCTAGAAAAAACAATTCCAAGCTCCATACATTGCATCTCACAACAAGTATCAGGACAAATTTTACAAACCATTTGCATGGGCTCCATCTCTTTGTCCATGAATTCTTTTACTGTATTTGAGTGGCAGATAGACACTTTCCTGAAGTTACACTATTAGGTTAGAATCTCAAATGCATCTTCTTCTTTTGTGATTGTCTTGAGAGAACATGAGAGATCATTCCAGTTTTCATGGACAAAATTCACATAATTCCTGTATCAAGCTTCTTGTGTACAAATCATCTTTCTCTCTGATAGCATGTTCTTGAAGATAAGACCCAGCAGAAATACCTTGAGCCCAGAAAGGTCACAAGAGCATCAGAAAGAGTAATTGAAGGAGACAGTAGGGAAAGCTGTGTTATCCCAAAATCTGATAGCCCTTGAAATGTAGTTGCCAACAGCAACCGCAACCCAAATGTCAGTCTTAGACCTCGCTGCTCTCCTGCTGTCACCACCTGCAGCCCTATTACTTCAGATATTTTCTGAAAATTCACTCATGCACTAAATTTTATGATGTGAAAGAAGAAATGTATAAAATGCTCTTCTAAGTAACTCCCCAGACTATTTATAGGAGGTTTTAGCACATGTAAAGATTTAGCTGTTTATCTCAGAGACAAATTGATAAAAATCATCAGAATAAGGAGCATTGGCCCCAGTTTCTGCATACTCATATATAAAATCTACCCCTGTAATTAAA